AGAGAATTCTTCAACATATCTACAAACGTGAGTTTTATATGAAGTATACCCACCCAGAGTAATTCTTGTATATATATGTCGTAAACCCGGGTAAGACAACAAGTGAGTTGGAAGCAGTCGGGGTTGAGTGGCAAGGCGTGCAGAGTGGGAAGTCCGCACGGGACAGTAAGGACAAAGTTTGGGATCAAAAGAAGCTCTCCTAGTACGCCTCACGTGGCACCAGGACCAGGGGAAAGTTGAGGATTAACTGAGGAAAGCTCGGCGTCCTGCATGAAGCCGCGGAGGCAGGGAGGAACCAAAACGGCGGCCACGAGGGCCGCCGTGAGACCTAGCACTGAGCGGACTGTCCGAAAATATCCACTGTAACCTAACTAACTGTCAACATCCGGACCAACGCCCTTTTTTTGTCCCTCCCTGGATCCCCCGGGTGTCCGGTGGCAAGCTGGTGTCACTTTGAGACGACTAGAAAAGACGTCATGTTTTATTACTTACATATCACATTGTTTAAATTATGATATGTAGATAATTGGTTAATTTTATATAAAGCAATAACGCGTCAACTACAGTAGAACCTCCTTTTAGCGGACACCTCTCTACAAAGGACAGTTTTCATTTTCAAAATGGATATTTTTACAATTTAGCAATTATCCGGTAAGAGGACACCTCTCCCTAAAGGACACTTTGGCTCTGTAATTAGGTGTCCTTTACAGAGAGGTTTTACTATTTATATAAGAAATAAAAATATCAAGCACGAAATTTATATTTTGAATAGTGATGTCTTGCCCACATTGCTCCATAGAAAGGGGGAGGATGCCATTGCCCCGTTAGTCAGCCACATTTCAGAGTTCCCTGTTCACAATTACCGTAGCGGCTCGTGGTTCACAACACCGTACTACAGGGCAGTCCCTTACTTATGCTGCTTCTCCCACCCGCCACGTAGTGGAGGAATTCTGGCTTGGAAATCTATTTAGGGTGGTGGTGTCTTGTCCACTCCATGGAAAGGGGAGGTGCCATTGTCCCGTTATTCAGCCACATTTCAGAGTTCCCTGTTCACAGTTACCGTAGCGGCTCGGGGCTCACGACACCGTAGTACAAGGCAGTCCCTTACTTATGCTGCTTCTCCCGCCCGCCATGTAGAGGAGGATTTCTGGGAGGGTATATTTTAAATAAAACCATATGTATATGTAATCTACTCTCCTAAAAGAGTATGTACATAGTGTTTTTCTTAAAAAAAATTCTATAACTCATATTCCATCTTTCAATGTTGTATATATGAACAAAATCGTCGAATACCATATTGTAACTCTAAAAAGCGTTCAGGTGGATTATATTGGAGACTAAAAGAAGATTTTTATAATAAAATATAATGCGGTTTATGATTGTAGAACGACATTTGAAAATTATCCCGCATGTGTTTCTTTTGAACGAAAAATCGAAATTCATTTCTAACCTTAGGAATGAAGTATGAAAGGATGGATTGTGAAGAGTAATGATAACCGGAAAAATAAACAATTTCTATTGCCCTTACTGCAATGGAAAAATTAATGGGAGGGCCTGGCTCATCAGTGGTGAACCCTCCCAGCGGTTTCGCCAGAAGAGTTTAGTACTGATGAGCCAAGCGTGCTTAAAATATTTCTATCGCAGTAATTACATTCTAGAAGTTAAGTTTTATTCGAAAAATAAAATCGTGTTCATTTTAGTTGTATTTCTTAGATAACAGGCTGACGGGTGAAGTGTGTCTTTTATTGGTGGAGGAAATGCAAGCTTTTGAATATTTCATTCAGCGTAATAAGAGGCGCTCCCGGAAATTTTTCCATCTAAATTCTAGCCATAGATTTGGCCCAGCCACCTTGCCAGCAAAACGCCTCTTTGGTAGATTGTGAAGATTCCATTAGATCCCGTGTGGATCTCATGGAATAAAGTCCGCCCTAGACTGACGAGGGCCATTAGCCCGAAACCATGATTTCTAGGTAGACGCTTCTCAGTTTGCCAAAACCCGAGGCCGCTAGTTGCGGCGACGGTCAATAGATGGCGTCAGGTTTTGACGTTTATTTTGACGGGAGAGGCACCCTATGCTTCTATGGAATAGATGAGATTGTTGTGTCTATTTTAACTGAATAATTAGCTTACTTTCTGTCAATATTAATCTTATAATCGTCAAATTATTTCTAAACTGAAAATGTGTTTGTCCAGGTATAGACCAAGTGTATCTCCAAGATGGCGGTCACTATGTTCTTTGGTATAGATCTACTATTCAGTAAAGCACAGAAGATTCTTTTCAATGGAATTTTTAACAATAAATTCTCTTCATCTTCATTTTACATATTAAATTTAATACATGTTTACATTTGCATACACAAATTTATATGCAAATGATGAGTAGTTTGTGTTTAAAATATAAAACTTATAGAGACGAAATTTATATTTTAAATCGTGGTGCCTTGTCCATTGCTCCATAGAAAGAGGGGTGCCATTGCCCCGTTAGTCAGCCACATTTCAGAGTTCCCTGTTCACGGTTACCGTAGCGGCTTGGGGATCAAACACCGTGCTACAGGACAGTCCCTTACTTGTGCTGCTTCTCCCGCCCTTCATGTATTTATATGCAAATAAAAAGTGGTTTATGTTAAAATATATAACTTCTTTAAGTTTTGTCTATGAGTTTAGAGTAAAAAAATCATTGATATTTATTTTTTAAAAGATTCAATATTTCATATAGGTATATGAAGTAATTTATAATACAATATAATGCGGCTTATGATTGTAGAAAGTTGTTCTACATTTCATATAGGCATTTTAGGAACACTAAGCGTTTATTAATATGTATTGTGTGAGTAGTTTTGTCTCATCTGCTAGTTATATTTTCTTTACAAATACACTTATAATAATATCCTCTATTCATGTCGCAATAACAAGATAACAAAGATATGATTTTTATGGATACAAGTATATTCTATAAGATATAAGATATAAGTATATATATATATAAGTATATATTATATAAGAAATACTTGTATATTCTATACTTACAAAAAAAAACTATGGATCCAAAATTTTAAATGTAAATATATATTTTAAACTGGATTAAAGTGGTTCAGCCTACTCCACACTGACGAGCGCCAAAAAGCGCGAAACGCGTTCGTGGATGGCTTTTCTTTGTTTATCAAGAAATTGGGTTGGCCAAATATCAGGGAACAGGCTAAATCAATGTTTAGTTGATTTCTGTTCCACCAGATGGCGCTCTGCCTTCTGTAAAGCACATGTGCTCCTGGTCAGGATATGCCATTTTTAATATTGATTTCAACACCTGATCTTTTTATCTTTTTTCATCTTTTATTTTTTCTTTGTTTTTTTAATATTTTAAACTATTTTATTGTTATAAATTTATATAATTTGAGGTCCAGGATATATTTTTATTATGAAAAATTCATAAAACTATTGGTAGAATTTCTTATATATGCATATATACCATTTTATATATATCAAGACTCTCCGGGTAGTTGGCGCTCTGCGCTCCAGGAACCTGGGTTATAAATATATCTCTTTCTATTTCAAGAGAGATGTTTAATAAAAATATATATAAATGGATAATTTTTGAAACAATATCTCTAAACCTGAAAAAAAAATTAATGATAAATATTCAACGAGATGAGAGATTAATTGGATCAAAATATCATTTATTTTACCAATATTTCAGTTGGCTGAACGCCAACCTTTATCAAGGTATTATAAAATTTTAAAGTGTTTTGAAAATAGAGCAATCCATAAATAAATCTTTAATTAAAAAGTCATATATTGAATCAAAATATCATTTATTTCACCAATATTTCAGTTGGCTGAACGCCTACATTTATCAAGGTATTATAACATTTTAAAGTGTTTTGAAAATAGAGCAATCCATAAATAAATCTTTAATTAAAAAGGCATATATTGTATCAAAATATCATTTATTTTACCAATATTTCAGTTGGCTGAACATTGAATATAACAAAATATTTTTAAAATTTAATTCTGTTGACGTTATGTGGCGCTGAGTTTGTTATTGATACACTTTAAAATGTTATAACACCTTAATTGGTAAAATAAATGATATTTTGATACAATATATGCCTTTTTAATTATTTTAAAGTGTGTTAACAACAAACTCAGCGCCACATAACGTCAATAGAATTAAGTTTAAAAATATTTTTCTGTTATTCCATTAGGAGAAAAAAAAATGATATATAAATTTATATTATGGACAAAATAAATTTTGTATTTTGATGAGAGATTAATTGCTGGTTCTTTTGATACATGATCATTTTATGTTATCGCAGTCGGGGAAAGAATAATAAAAACATATTATAATTTGTTAGTTTGTTTTAATTGAGCTTATACAATATACAGTTGTCAGCGTCATAATCAATTCTGTTTCCGTTTGCTTTGTGAATGGAATAAATACCCAAATATGGCCATTTTTCGTAACCATCGGTGGTTAAGTGGTAGAATGCTCGCCTGCCACGCGGGCGGCCCGGGTTCGATTCCCGGCCGATGCATTTTTTTCTACAATTTTTAAAACTCATTTATATATTATACAAGAATGACATCCACGGCGCCAATTTATTATTGTAACGAATAGTATTTGAATAAAAGCATTTAATTGGGTAAAACCCAGGCGTTGCCCGGGTCATTCGGCTAGTGAAATATAAAATACATAATTTGAGAAAAGTACTACCTGACTTAAGAGGCGATTAGAATTAAAAAAAATAAAAGATAACGTATTTACATATTTACAAAAGATTTGAGCCGGCCAAAAGAAAGAGAGAATATGATTTTACGGGCTACTAATTGAAGTGTATGATTTTGGAGCCCAAAAATGAATGTAGCAATCAGACAAGCCGCATTGTACTATATCAAAGTATCAAGGTGCTGCACACCAAGGTTGTTTTAAAAAAAGGTTAGATTCCCCAGGCAAGGGAAGATAAAAGAAAGACAGGTGTTGATTAGAAAAGAAGAGAAAAAACCGCCCAACGTGGGGCTCGAACATACGACCCTGAGATTGAGTCTTATGTTCTACTGACTGAGCTAACTGGGCTTAAACCAAGGGGGAACGGAAATATCTTTATTTACGGAGCTTCTAACCAAAATAAAATGATTTTTGAGCCCCAATGGCCGTGTAAAGAGGAATATATAAAACCACTATGACCAGGCTAGGGAGGCTAGGGACAGGATATCCGTTAGGGAAGAGGCAGGTTAGGCCGAAAAATAAAACCGCCCAACGTGGGATTCGAACCCACGATTCTGAGATTGAGTCTCATACTCTACCGACTGAACTAACTGGGCTTGAGCCAATGGGAAACAACAACAATTGATTTATATAGGTAGAGCTGAGACATTTGGCGGTCAAATTTACGGAGTAGTTTTTGTTCTACAAATTATAATCTTAAAATATAATTTTTATAACAAACTAGACGGGTGACCCGGGCTTCGCCCCGGGATTGACCCGTGTGCATATCTACCCGAGAGTGATATATATTCAGATAAGATTTTTTTTATAATTGTTTGTTATTAGCATTATCTATGTGTTTGCATCAGCATAATTTAATCTAATCTTTGATAGAGAGCGCTGTTCGTGAGCTAAGTATAATAATTTGAATATATAGTTTTAATAATTGATTTATATATTTTTAAAAATAGCCTATCGTCTTCCCCGTATTTTTTTTACCTATGTATGGAAATTTTGGTTTGATTTAGTGAACTACTGCGAATGTGTATACCGGACATACAAACAAACAAACAAACATACAAACATTCATTTTTATTAAAATTTTACACAAATAAATTTACTGGCAATGCGTTTCTTTTAAATATCATCAAATATTATCTCTAGAGACCTTACTGCAATGATATGAGTTATTGAATGAGAGGGCTTGGCTCATCAGTAGTGAACCCTCTCAGCGGTTTCGCCAAATTAATCTCTAGACCGCTCTACTATTGTATTGGATTGGTTTTCTTATATACCCTGTATTTTCTATGGAAGGCAGCTTAGGGGTGTTTAGTGAACTATGGACATAAGCTTATAGGTCTGTAGAGGTACATACATATAATTTCAAGGTATTGCATCGAGCAAAGCTCTTCCGCAATATATGTTTTCATAATCAATATATATTAGTAAATTAAATTTTATTGCCATCTACGTTAAAATTTTACACAAATAAATTTACTGGCAATGCGTTTCTTTTAAATATCATCAAATATTATCTCTACAGACCTTAGAGATATATTTATACAGATATATATATACAGACTATAGAGATAATATTTGATGATATTTAAAAGAAACGCATTGCCAGTAAATTTATTTGTGTAAAATTTTAACGATAGATGGCAATTAAATTTAATTCATTTTTATATATATAGATATATATATTAACTTTAAAAAGTTTCGCACAACAAATTTTTGAAATTACTCGAATAAGTTTATACCCATCTGGAATGGGATAGAGAAGTAGGTGATGAAGAGACCCAGAGAAGAGAGAATAAAACTGACGTCCAGGTCATACACTCCACCACAGGTCAGTAGGTTGTTCTCAGCTTGAAATCTGAGGAACATCAGTCTGAAAATGTCGCTGGGACTGTTGTCAGGTGAGGTGACTTGGTCCAGAGCCATACTGGTGACTTCAATGTATTCTCTGTTGACTTGGCTAGCTATGAAGGCAACAGATATATATATAAAAGCATAGTGAAATATCCAAAAACACCAAGACACAAAGTGCACATTTTTTATCTTGAATTCAAACAATAATAACATATCAACTATAATTAATATTAATTTAACAAAAGTAATAAATATTGGAAATGAATAGAATTTATTCATCTTCTTTAAAATACAAGTATATAATGTAATTTTATTTATTAATAAATTCATACTAACAAAAGGTATTTTTTCTTTAAATGTTAACATTTCATTTTCAAGATAATAACATATATAATGAAAATATAAGAAAAGCACCCAAATCATACTATCAACAACAAAAAATAAAATATCTTCATCTACATTCGAATTATCATAGAAATAATTATTATCAGAACTTGGATTAGTGATAATTTTATATAATATAGTCTTTATAGGACATTGCATATAAATAATAATAATAAATACCATATATAGCCAAAATTTTATATTCAAATTATTGCTATATGATATTTGAAATTTGAAATCGTTCCTAAATTTGATCATCTTATCTTTAATATTATAAAAGAAAACTACAATCATTATATTAATAATATTATAAATGTTTTCAAAAATTGGAATAAATATTTTTCTTAATAATTTCTTTTTACCTTCCAGAGAATTCTGAGAGATAGAAAAACTAAGATAAATAGCTTTATTTATAATATATAGATAAATAATAATTATAAAGATAAATATGATTTTAGCATATTTTACTTTATCCTGCATCGGCAAAATTATATAAAGGTTTTGAAATATCATTTTGTTATTTAGATTGGATCTGTTTGAAAAAATTGCTTTGATTGTCATGGTAACAAGAACAAAATATTTATTTTTACTTCAAAATACTCTCTCTCTCTCTCTCTCTCTCTCTTAATACAAGTATATTTCATATATTAAATGTAAACAATATATTTAGGTGGATTGATATTATGACTTGTTTTTTTTTTATCCTATATACACCAATACCTCGCTTTGCGTCGTTTCGTTTTGCGTTTTTTTCGAAGTTGCGTCGCTGCTTAATTTTTACTGATTTTCACTGTGCGTCGTTAGATTTTCGAAGTTGCGTTGTTTTGGATTCGAGTCTTTATTTAAAAAAAAATTTTTTTTCCTAAAATATGGCAACACCTTTGTTTTTGATTGCGCCTTCACATATTTTCACTTTGCGTCGTTTCAATTTGCGTCGTGTTTTTTTTTGGAACGTAACCCTGACGCAAAGCTAGGTATGGGTGTACTTATATCTTAAAACTTCCAAGAATAATGGAGAAAATGTTTACTTTTACCTTTACTTCAAAGTACTCTCTCTCTCTTCATATATTTCATATATTAAATGTAAACAATTTAGGTGAATTGATAATATGAATTGTTTTTTATATCCTATATACTTATATCTTAAAAATTCCAAGATTAATGGAGAAATTATGGGGATTTATTATATTGATTGTGTTAAGATATCTTTTCTTAACTGAATGAAGGCCGTTTTCCAGAGGACTGTAAATTCTGATGTTATCTAGAGTGACACCCTTATGGTGTTTCCAAAGCCTCTGCAAGTTTGATGTTATCTAAAGTGACACCCTTATGGTGTTTCTAAAGCCTCTGCCAAAGAGAGAATAAAGGCACGACCAGTACTATTCACACACACGTTTTATTTTCAAGCACACTATATATACAATCAAACATACACACGTGACCAGGCACTCTTGGTCAAATACAATAAAACATTTAATCAAAAATAATAAAATAATCCCCAACATTCCTCCCCGAGTTGATGGGTCACATCAATTTCCATTATTAGCTAACACGGCAGCTAGTTCTTTTAATTGATCCTGAGCCAGATAGAAACGTGAACTTAACTGTCGTGCAGCTCCTACAAAATTTGTTCCTTGATCACTATATAGCCGAGTGCAATGCCCTCTTCGCGCTACAAATCGCTTGAAGGCCGACATGAAGGTGGGCGTAGAGGCATCTGTGACCAATTCAAGATGTACGGCTCGGGTCACAAAGCACCCAAATAGACAGATGTAGCCCTTTTCCGTCTTTCGACCTCTACCCTTGGACATTCGAAGGTTCACAGGTCCAGCATAATCTACACCACTGATTGAGAGGGGTTTACCCGTTGTTAATCTCTCCTTGGGTAAATCGCTCATTAGCTGGCCTTGAGTGACGCGATTGTATCGACAACATGACACGCACTCTCGAATGCATCTTTTCACCTGATCTTTTGCTCTCAGCATCCAATACCTCTGTCTCATTGTGGACAGCATCAGGTGCACACTTCCGTGCAAAGTCCGCATATGAACCACTTGAACAATCATCTGAGCCACCTTTCCTGATGAAGGCAATAGCGCAGGATGGTTTTGTTCATATGTCATAGATGGAGCCCATTTCAATCTACCGCCGACTCCAAGGATTCCTTGATCGTCGAGGATCGGTGTCAAACCATAAATCTTGCCCGTGCGCTTCACTGATCCTAAAGTGGTCAAACTTCTCATTTCTTCCCTGAAATGCTGGCACTGAATTGCTTGAAGTATTCTCCTATGAGCATTTCTCAGTTCGGCTGGGGTTAAGTGCGACTGATATCGCTCCGCACTGTAGCGGCAGTTATGGCAATAACGCAATATCCAGGCCACCTTTTCGGATATATTCATTAAAGGTTGAGCTCATCTCTCCGATAGCGACCAAGAAAGGTGTTTCACTGAGGGCATGAACACTCAGGAGCTCAGTTTGACTTTGGTTCTCAAACACAGGAGGCATTCTAGGCCATTCTGTTGATTCCGCTGATAACCAGGTAGGTCCTGTCCACCAGATGGAAGACGGTTTCAGCTCGGACCCCAGAATTCCCCGCTTGGCAATATCCGCTGGATTATCTCCTGTGGGAACATAGCGCCACTCCCTGACCTGTGGACAACTCTGAATCTCCGCGACACGATTGCCGATGAAAGTGGGGAGATTTCCAAACATAGTTCTTAACCAACTCTAGACTATGGTAGAATCGGACCAACAGGTAGCACTCTCCATTTTGATATTCAACTCTTCCAGTATATATTTCATTAGTCTGGTCAGGAGAAGAGCCGCGCACAACTCCAAGCGTTGAACTGACATCTTCCGCATGGGAGTCAACTCAGTCCTTGATGCCAACAGTCCTACACTGACTTCATCATCAGTGGGAATTCTTATGTAAACAGCTGCCGCATAGGCGTCTTCAGAGTCATCACCGATTCCATGCAATTTTACTCCCTGGGTATTCCTTCCGAGACCCAACCATCGGGGTATTCTCAAACTTCCTATGAAAATCAGTCCATGTTTCAATCAATGACTCATCCATCGGATCATCCCAATGTAATCCCGTTTTCCACAACCTTTGAACCATTATTTTCCTGTTACAAGGACAGGTGCCAACCATCTTAAGGGATCTTCTAACTTGGCGATGAAGGAAAGCATTTCGCTCGTGGTAGTCGCCGATGTCTTTTCCAACGACTGAACTTCATATAAGAAACAGTCTTCACTTTGGATCCATCCCAAACCCAATGTCCTTATAACATTGGACTGTTCAAATGTAATCCCTTGTGCGCAATGTTCTCTCGCAATGTTGCCCAAAATCGTCAGATCA